TTTTGTCTTCCCCCCCAATTCCCATATTTTCCCATATCTTCCTGGGAATCGAGGATTAATTGTGTCTGTGTGTTTCTTTTCCTCCTGAACTATGGGGACCACGACGCGAGAGGCCTCAGACCACGGCTGACGAGTGAGCCTCCGCGCGTCAGTTTCCAGCGAGCACCAAGTCACCGCGCACCAGAGTCCCTTGGCACGCACCTGTGGGACATGCATCTCCCCTTACATCCTACATGAGGTTGTACAGGGCCCAGTAAACTTGCGGATGCCATGACAATGGACACTCGAACAATCCTATGATTGAATGAAAGATGTGTTTATCTGTGTAAAACATGTTTTAAACATGTTTATTTCAAATGTGTTCTTACATATCAAAACAAGGCATGCTTGACACATTTTGCGACATCTGGACACTATTTGGCAACATGTTTCCTCTCCATTAACCGACTTCCACAACAATAAAACTTGTGCGAATTGGAAAATACACGGCAGTCGAAAGCGCCGCTGCACAGGCTGATAAACAAGTGGCGTAACTTACGCAACCCGCGTATCCCTCTGGATGTAGGTTTCGCTGAAGATCTCTGAGGATGTACATATGTTTGCCGAATGTTTGCTTTCACGCGCGCTGGCACGCTCTACGCGGGTCACGCGCATGGCCTGTGGCGCGCCTGGTACGCACGGTTGGGGCACGCTGCGCACGTGGCGCATCTAGCACGCCTGGGCCCCTGGCGCGAGTGGCGCACCTGGCGCCTGTCTTGGTGCCCATCGGAATGCGACTGCTGAATCTGCTGGATCACGGGCACTGCTTGTGCGGTGGGAGGGCGGGCGAGAGTGAGCGAAACAGGTTGGGGCGTCCCTGTTGGAAACTTGACCCCTCCCCATACTAACTACTCAAGGGTCTAGAGCCCAAGACCCCCGACGTCATGATTCTGTTCATAGCGACGACCCCCAAAGGTCTCGACCCGCTCCCCAAGACCTGTGCTTCGCCGCGGGTCGTGGTTTGAGGGTTCCGAAGCCCCGCGAGGGCCCCAAGAGGCCGAACACGACGAAAAACACCCCGTCACGGTTTTGAATTACTCGAGGGGGCCTGGGGCATCCAGAAAAGCCCCAGATGGCCCCAAGATGGCCTCAGCATAAGATGGCCTCCTGGGTGGCCCGATATGGCCTCCAGCGTGGCTCCACGAGGCCGAGAGACAGCCCCAGGGTGGCTCGATGTGGCCATATAGGCTGCCAGAAGAGAGCCTCAAGTATCAAATGCTCCCCAAAAGTTACTAATTTTGAGCGCAATTTCGAGAAGGAGAAGAAACGCTGAAGGCAATGTCCACGAAACATGAAATCGCATGTCCTCAACGTGATTGTCTGGGATACCCTATGGAAACACCAACCGCAAAGCTGAAAATGTTCGCAACAGCTCCAACTCTGAGCCATGATATGGAACCACCCATTACAAAAACATTGGCAGCCTTAACAGGAGAACAGGCTGCTCCCCAGAAATCCAGACGACAGCCCCGATCGGACATCGGACAGCGGACTTGCAGCTTTCGCCGGCGAGGGCGTCACAGGTTGGCGCCGTGGCACCAGACATGAGAGAAGCTGGAAGATGTTGGGTTCTGAAAGGTTCCTAACGAGTTAGTGAAGCGTGCATGCATGTGCATGTTGTTGTATATGAGTACTGACCAAATCCATGTGATTCAAGCAGGTGTCCTGGCAAGAAGCACAAGTATCCCTTTCCCAAGGTGCATACCGATCACCATGGTAACTAGCGCGAGCGCGATCCGCTGCAACGACGAAGGCCGCCCTCGCTGAGCAGCAGAGGACGGCGGCGGAACAAGCAGCCCAGATCCAGAGGCTGACAGACAGCGGCCCAGCAGCGGCTGACGACAAGACGCTGGACAGCATCGTGGACACCAAGATTCTCAGCAGGATCGGCATCTTCTTAGGCACAAGTAAAGATTGGAGGCAGTGGTGATTCGTGTTGGAGTCGACGGCAGGGCTAGTCGACCTAGAGCAGATCATGACCCACTGCGATGTTACGGATGAAAAGACTTGGGCTGGGACGCGCAGTCAGAGTCCATCAAGCGTTCGGATGAACGTGCTCTACCAGTTGCTGATCGCGACCACGAGAGGCGAGGCTCTTTCGATCCTCCAGATGGCCCCGAGGAACCACCGCGCTATCGGCTGGAAGCGACTCAAAGAGGAGTGCGGGCCGAAGCCTGAAGGCAGGCTCACCGCCGTGCGAGTTGGAGTGCTGAGGTTCGAAAGGAGGGCCGCCGTGACGAAGGGCATCCGCGCGTGGGAGGTAGCGTGGAAGGAGCGGGAGCAGAGCGTCTCACTCTACGGGGATCAGTCCGTGGAGAAGGCCAGCGGCGGCACCAAGGTCGCGGCCATCACGAGATGGGCCCCACACGGCGTCAAGGCGGTGATCCGTCAAGCCATGGGGGCGACAGGTCAAGACTACAACGTGCTCGCCCGAGTCGTCACCGACTTCATCGCGCACTAGGAGAGCGCCTGGAGGCGCTCAGTATTCCAACGACGGTCCAGTGCCAGTGGACGTTGGTCTAGTGAGGGATGGAGACGTGGGTGGCATCCACGGGCCTCCGAAGTGGTTCGGCAGGGACACCAGGAGGCAGGCTGGCAAGGGCCGCAACTCGGATGAGGACGGAAGCACCCGCGGGGCCAAGGCAAGAACCCAGAGCGAGGGGCACGGGGAGGAGGGAACGGGTCAGCAAGCCCGTGCTAAGCTGCGGGCTCAGGGTCATGCGAGGCGCCATGATCAACCTGGAGATAGGCAGCAGTGGCATGGTCCCGCCGAGCATGAACGGCGTCGAGAGGCGGATACCCCTGACGATGGTCGGGAAGACCTTCCACGCGAAGTGCCCTATGCTGGAGGGTGGGGCTCATGGGCACAGGGTGGCACCAATGGTTGACCAGGCGGCGCAGCCGGTACTGTTACCACCGCGGGCGCAGGAGGCGAACCCTCCGGCGTCACCACCAGCACAGGAATCGCAGGCAAGCCCGAGTGCAGACGGATCTCCGGTCGTTGCTCCCCCAGCACCTGGCGGAGAGGAGGCGCAAGGTCCTAGAGAGATCCTTGGTGCCCAGTCGTAGGTCGATGCTTTGAAGACGCGTTTTAAAGGAGCACAAGAGGCTTGGAGTCACGGACGCAGCGGTCCATGGCACCACGAAGCAGTTGTGGGAAAGGCTTGTCATATGCGAGCACATGCTGGACGAGAGGATCAAAGTCACAGAGGCCCTCGACAGACGACAGCGGCGACTTCAAGAAAGAATTTACACAGAAGCGCCGAGGAGGCTAAAGAGAACCGAGAGGCCAGACGAAGAGACGAGACGGTGAGGCTGCACAAACTCACCCATGCGAGGTTCGGACCGTAGACAGAGCGCGTTTCACGGGCGCTTGCCTTGGGAACATTTGGAGGCGCGTTTCGAACCGGGGGGTGGGCCCCACCCCCCCAACGCTCGGCGGCGTCGATCAGAACCAGGGGGACTCCCCTCCCCCCTAGCCCCCCCCCCTCCTGAACCCCCCCCACAAGGTGGGGGGGGATCAAGACCACCCCCCCCACCCCTCTGGCGCCGGTTCCGGCGCTGGCGGCCGCCAGCAGCGCCGACGGCGGGGACGCAGCAGCGATGACAACCACTACCACCACCACCACTACCACCACCACCACCACCTCAACCCACCACCACCAACACCAACCCACCACACAACCACCACCACCACACCACCACCACCACAACCACCACCACCACAACTCACCACCACCACCACCACCACCACCAAAAACCCACCACCACTACCAACACCAGCAACACCACCTCCACAACCTGCCACCACCACCAGCACCTCCTCCACAAACCACCGCCACCACCACAACCCACCACCACCACCACCACAAACCACACCCACACCACCACCAAACCACCACCACAACCACCACAACCCACCACCACCACCACCACAAACCACCACCACACCACCACCAAACCACCCCCACCCACCACCCACACCACCACAACCACCACCACCACCACAACAACAAGCCACAACACCACCACCACACAACCACCGCCACCACCACCACCACAACCTACCACCACCACAAACCATCACACCACCACCACCACCACCACCACCACAAATCACCACCACGACGACCATCACCACAACAACAAACCACTATCACCACCACAACAACCCCCACCACCACAACAACCACCACCACCACAACCAACCACCACCACCACAACCACTGCCACCACCACAAACACGACGACAAACCACCACCACCGCCACCACCGCTACCACCTTAACCCACCACCACCACAAATACCACCACCATCACCAGAAACCACCGCACCACCACCACCACTACCGCCACCACCACCACCACCACTTCCACAACCTGCCACCACAACCACCACCTTAACCCACCACCAACCACACCACCACAATCACCACCGCCACATCCATCTCCACCACCACCACCACCAGCCCACCACCACCACCACCTCAGAGAGGCCCCAAGAGACGCCCAAGAGGCGCCCAGGAGTCTGCACAAATGCCCTTCAGAGGCCCCCGAGAGCCCTCCGACGAGACACCAAGAGGCTTCCACTAGGACTCTGACCCAAAACCAAGGCACGGTGGCGGAGCGTCGTCGTCGTCGTCGCGGTCATCGTCGCCGTCGTCGTCCTCGTCGACGCTCCCCGCCGCCTCCGCCCGCCGGCGCAGGCGCCGGCGCCGGCCCAGAGAAGGAAGTCGTCGTCCCCGCAGCCGCCGCCAGCCGCCGCCGACGCAGGCGCCGGCCCGAGGAGAGGGAGAGGAGAAGTGGGAGGAAGGGGGGGAACGCGGGGAGGGGGTTCCAACCACCCCCCCTCCGTCACGGGAGGTGGGGGGGGAGGGGTTCTAACCCCCCCCCCGCCTCCATTCAGGGGGGGGGGTCCGGTTCCAACCCCCCCCCTCCAAGCAACCACAGAACGCGCTCTTTCGAACCGTGGTGCCTCGAGAGCGTCTACGGCCAGGGAGATGCTGCACCTCATCGCGGAATCCAGTTCCTCACCGACAAGGAGCCCGAGGTCCTCGTTGTGCAGATAGACTGCCATTTCGTGAAGGACGATGGGGTGGCGACCGAGGACGGCTCCAACAGGTTCTCGATCACGATCGCGGTCGTGGACTGCGACATGGGCGCCTCACTTCAGCTGAGCCTCCCCGGGGAGCGGCAACCAGGACGACGCGGTGTCGTCGATCGTGGGTTCCCTCAGGAGGCTCGGGGCCAACAGGTTCAGGCCCAGGTTCGATGTTAAGCCGAACTTCGTCATCGTCGCGAATGCTGTGACAGCCAAAAGGTTGAAGCTCGCCGGCTACAGTCATGGTAGAGCGGACCCCAAGGTATTCTTCGCAGTCTCGTAGGGCCGTGGGGGCGCGAAAAAGATACTACAAGGCCAGACTCGTACGATCAGAGAGGCCACTGAGAAGATAATTGGCATCAAGATTGGACCAGGTCACACTCGATGGTCATAGATTGTCAGGCACGTGGGTTCCTCATCGTATCACGTGAAGTTGACGGGTCGCACTCCACACCAGGGGGCCACCCGCACCAAGTACAACGGCGCGACCCTGGAGTTTGCGGAGGCAGCTTTGTTCAAGCATTCTGATGTCCTCGAGCGTCCACGTGACAAGAGGTAGACGCAATCGCACGCCCAGGAAGATGTGCGAGAAGAGCACTTCCGTAGGCAAGACCTACGAGAGCGATGAGTTCCTCATGGGGACGAGCAGTGGCGTGCACCTGGTCAGGACCGTGCCCAGGCGCCAAGATGATCGGAGTTTCCTGGGATCGCGGCTTCGGTCAGATCGGAAGGCCAAAGGTCAAGAAGGTGATTGTGGTTCTTGCTGCCCCTCCTGCGAAGTGACAAGACGAGGTCGAGGCAGAGGATGACAAGGAGAAGAAGATTCCAGACATCACCGTCGAGAGGGGGGTCGTCGAGGGCTCCCACTGCCACGCCAGCGAGAGCAGGAGGACAGGCAGTGCTTACTTGGACGCCTCCGAGGCACCAGCAACGACAGGCAACGCATCATCATCGACCATCTCAAGTTGTACCGGTACGTGGTCCCGCCGAGTCTGAGGCCCCTGATGTCGAGATAAAAGACGTTGGGGGTGTCGAAGGACACATCGTGGATAAGGTCGACCAGTTGTCGACCATGAGCCATGACGTGGCCATCGACTGGCACGTTGGCGAGTTCGACGGTTACTTGCTCAAGGCAGGCAAGTGCAGGGAGACCAACGCGATGCAGGAGTGTTGAAAGTTCGAGGCTGCATCGCCAGACGAAGTGGACGCATCATGGACGCGGTTGTCTACGATCCCGGTGATGCAGCCGACGGGAGGTGAGATTCGGTGCCGGCTCGTGGCCAGAGGCTTCAAGAAGACGGACCCCGAGTGTGAGGGCTTGTTCACTCCGGCGAGCGAGCCGACCACAGGCGGGCTGATACGCCCTGCGAAATGCTTAAGAAATCATGGGTTAAGAAATTTATAGTCTCAGAACTTGAATAAAAAACCCAACATTTCTATTAAAATCTTAAGATTTACATTGAAACGTTAAGAATAATCGAGACTCTGGCCGAAAACTTACGTTTTCTTAAGCATCGCCTAAGGTGTAGACTTGAAAGTCGTGAAGCTGAGTCCGCGAACGGTCATCCTGGATGCGGCGAGCGCATACTGTCACGCAGACCAGGAAAGGCTGGTGGTCGTGCCGCCTCGGGAGTGGAGCGGGGGCTTCAGCGACTTCATGTAGCGCACTCTCGTCTCGGAGGTGGATTTCAAGCAGTGTCCAGATCAGCCTCGTTTCTTTCGACGGGATCGTGATTCGGCGGACCTATAGCTTCACCAGGCCGATATCCACTCCACGGCGCCCGAGGACAATCTCGTGGCTTTCACGACGGAGCTGCGTGAGAAGGTCGAGCTCAAGGTAAACAAGCTGCTCAAGGCTGGCACGAGGTACGAGCACCTGAAAGATGGACGGGTCGGGATTCTGGCTGTCATATACCTACAAGCAATAAGAAGTATGCTGACAATATCGTGAAACTGCTAACCTCAACGATGGCAAGGCCAAAAGCTCGTCAACACCCGTCGTGATGAAACAGCTTCCCAAGGACAAAGAGAAACCCCTGAGCGACGAGGGAGTGAGGGTCTACCAGCAGTGCGTGGGCATCGAGAAGTTCATGGTCGACTACTTCAGAGAGGTTACCTTCGCCGTCCACGTGCTGCACAAGATACTGTCGAAGCCCACCGTCAACGACATGAAGCGGCTCGGCAAGGAAATCCTTGCGAGTTCGAGACTACGCACTGCTCTTCCCAAGAGATGGAGGTACTGAGATCCTCGAGTGCTACACCGATCCAAATTGGACTAGAGACGCTACGGACCGCAAGAGCGTGGCATGTGGCATCTTACGCTGCGGCGGCTGCACTCTCCTTGAGTACTCGCGCGCCGGA